TTTACTCAAATTTCTGTTAACTTGTGACTGGATGTTTTCGTAACTCAATGTTCGTAACTCAATGTTCGTAACTCGATGTCCGTAACTCGAACAATTCAGCATCTCTGGAATATTAATGTTATTATTGAAGATAACTTGGTACATTTGGTTTAACCTTTCCGTAGAAAACTTTTCATTTGTCAATATAAGCAATTTTTGTTAGCTGATAAAAAATAAAGCTCTGTTATCGTAGAGTATGACCATATGGGAATAGCACCAATTGCAAAAATATGACAAATTGTGTCTCTAATAAGTTAAATAGTTCCATAGCGTGTTCAATAGTTCTCATTTATACGAATCATCATAGTTTGGAAAATAGGACACATTTTTGTTCCTTGTTGTATTCTACAATTGTGCAGATGTATTACATATTGTTCATTTCAATAATTTTTAGTTCCATGTCTAATTAGTGTGGCAGTCGACATTAAAAGTGTTCTTTTCATTACAAAATACATTTTACAGGTCTAGACTGTTGACTAAAGAGGGGAAATTGAAAGCTGTTCATCGAGAATTTCTAACTCCACTCCAGATTTATTTGTTTTCTCTACCCGCTCCCCATATTTTTTCATAAGATCTGGTTCCTTACATCATCTTATTTTATGGGGCAGTTTTCCCCTGCCTCCCGAAATATTTCTATGAATGTTCTCCTCTCCCACGTAGAAAATGTTCCCGCTCTAAATCCTTCTAAAGTTTTACATTGCCCTCTCCTTAAAAAAATTCAAAATTTGTCTTTGCCCTTAAGAAATTGTACACAATTTCCTCTGTCCTTAGGACATTGCAAATTTTCCCCCAGCTCACAAGAAATCGAAATTTGTTTCTCCGCCCTCAAATAACCGTTTTCGGACAGCTTTTTCTATGAACAGCTCCATTGGCTGTAACTGAATTTCCCAAACATCAATATTGCAAAATGAGAAACAGGTATGACATGATTGATGCGATGCAGAAAACATCTATTTTGTGTGCCCGTGTATAAACAGCAACAACAATCCATAATGAAAAGTAAATATTTTGTATCTCGATTGTTGTGTATGTTCTCTGACAATTGGTCGTCAATGGCAACATATAGGTTACATAACAGTGAGGGCAGTGAAAGCGTTCGGAGGTCGCTCGTTAAGAGTTTGAAAACGATGCACTTCCGATTAATGGGCGGCGCCATTTTGTTTGTTGTTTCACAAATTATGAGGATCGGAAACAGCTCATTCATCATGAAACATCTTCAGAGTGTTGTTCAATGATAAGGCAATCGTTTCCTGGCAACCGATTGAACATTGTTCAACTTTCTATAGTGTTTCGGGGCAGTTTGATCAGCGGCGACACACGAATCGTGCGTGGCGCCATTTTGAATTTCGCGCAACTGGCGCTTAAACTATTAACTAGACCGCAATTCACGCGCTTCGGCTTTCTATGGTAGTCACTTTTTATTTTTAGTAAATCAATAAACTACTTGGCTGCGCTCGCTCGCCTGGCATTACCTGTTACATATTAGCGAGCGCAGTGAGCTTTATAGATAACATGTGTATATATAAAAGAGAATGGAAGAAATCTATATACCCTAAGAATTTGAAAACGGTGCACTTCTGGTTAATGGGCGGCGCCATTTTGTATGTTGTTTTACAAATTATGAGAAGCGAAAACAGTTCATTCATGATACAGCTTCTTCAGAATTTTCGTTCTAGGATAAGCAAATTGTTTTTTGGTTAGAGACTGAAAATTGGTCAAAACTTTCAATAGTGTTTCGGGGCATTTTGATCACAGGAATCGTGTGTGGCGCCATCTTGAATTCTGCTCGAATCGTGCGCGAACTAATAACCCGATTTCCGCAGTTCGCGCGCCTAGACATTCGATGGTTACGCTGGTTCTATTTTAAGTAATCAATAAACATGTGCCACGTTCCAAATTTCCATAACAGCGAATGCTGCCAGAACGCAGCTCTTTAGTTAACATGTGTGTATGTACATAAAGGAGAGAATATAAAAAAATGGAGCACTTCCGGGCTATGGGCGGCGCCATTTTGTTTGTTGTTTAACAAATTATGTAAAGTGGTACAGCTTATTCAGAAATGTACGTTGATGGTAAGTTAATAGTTTTCTGGAACGAGTTGAACATAGTTCTACATAGTTCTGAATGTTTGTTTCGAGTCATTTTGACAACACCAAAGTTGTACCTGGTGCCATCTCAAGCTGCAGTCGCCATTTTTTGTTTGTTTGTTTGTTTGTTTGTTTGTTATTTTTACGTTACCATTCAACATCGTCACCCCAGGTAAACTTAGGTAAACGGATAATATGGGTGCTATATTTTTGTCTTTAGGTTGTTGTCATCCAATGAGTAGCCAGTGAGTAGACAATGTGTTGTGCCCGTGCATCAACAGTGCAATTGTCGTAACGGTCGGCGGTAGTGCTGCCAAATGAAATGTATAGACAGTGATTCGAATATTTCGATTCACCGTTTCCGGCAATCATGTTGGCAAAATGACACAGAGATATTCATTATTATTAGTGTTATAACCCCTTAAACCTCAACATTGTGGCAATTCCCGGAGATTAAAACAAACAATGTATTTTATACGTGTTGTATACGTCGCATGGGCCCCATAACAAGCATAACGACACGACCACCGCCCTTTGAGACATACTAATAGTGTCTGGTGGTAATTTCCACGGAGACCGCTTGAATTTTACATATCAGTTCATTTTCCATGACCGTTGCTCGTATTACTTTGTTCTCCATCGACTGTTAGGATTAGATTTCTACATATTATGATCATTATCGATTGATTTATGGATATCAATTACATAAACGTAATCATGGAGATCCAATTCCGTTCTGAGGAGAATAACTCGCGTAATCTGACATGTATACATCCGTTCCGAACGTTATTGTATAATATTAAAAACATACAATAAGATATTGATTTTCGGAAATCAATTTTCCCAGTGAAACAATAAGTGCTTAGTGAAAAAAAAAATATTAAAATTCATTATGTCAACACACGTAGCTCAGAAAATTTCCAAGGTTTCGAAATTTTGAGTAAACAAGAATATCATGATGCTAGAGAAGGTTGATAGAATTGCTCCACATGTTCTATTCTGCATCAACTTACTATATCCCAGCAAGACGATTTTGGAAAGTCGACAGAAATTAAAAATATCGTTCATGTGTATTACGACAGTTGACGTGGGCGGTAAAATATTAAACTTACTACGTCACATAAAGATATATCCTTAATTTCGGACGTGAAATATAAATGCCGGCTTTTATTTTTCAAGGAAACGATACCTTTGGTACCCCGATGATTCACTGACATTAATTTCGCAATTTTTATGAAATTTATATTTTCTCCCAAGTTTACTATAATATAAGTAATATCATTATAACGATCAACTTGGGAACTCGTATTTTATTGTTTTTTTTTTTTTTAACTTAATTAATGTTTTCTTGCAATACATTTTGCACCTGGGTTATTCATTCGTTCTGATCGGCGATTTTATGTGGAATTAGTCCGTCAGTTGAATTGCGTTTGTTCAGATTACATGCGTTGTAAAATACATGTACACCTTATTGATTGGCGGGTCTGTGTTATAGCATTGCGACAAAACAAATACCACGACCATTAAAACGTCTCTCACACAAACCGTGTTCAGATTTCCTGTAAACGAACAATGTATTTCTCATGCGTTGTATACGT